GTCGCTGCTCATTTTCTACCACCTTCCAATCCTGATTCTTCCCCTTCCTCAGGGGTGCTGTGTTGCTTCTGAGAGCACCTCCCAATAAACTTCCCGCAAGCAAATCTCTGTCTCATAGTGTTTCATGAGAAGCCTGACCTAAGACCGTCACCTAAGATTCTAACCTTTAGGACCCCAGAGAACAAGTCTAAGCATCTGAAGGTGGACCTCGTGGACCACCGGCGTCTTCCATGCTGCGATTTTCTCTAATAGTCCTCACAGCGTGTTGTGCGCTTCCTACATCCTCGCTGCCCTTCAGCAAATGTTCTCCAGCTTGTGTGTTTCCTCATGATAAAGCACCATAAACTGAGGTCCCCGAGTATCTCAGTTGTGGTCAGACATGCGTGCCAAGAATGCGAAGGGGCTGAGTCTTTCGTGCTTCTCCAGCCTTGGCTGCACACTGGAACCAAGGGTGAAGCTCTTTAGAAATCCAAACTCCTCACCTTCCTTCCCTCTCTCCATTCACCCATCCTGGGTCCTGTCTCAGAGGGTCTGGATGCAGCTCACAGTGTTCCCAGAGCTTCCCAGGCCATTCTGATTGATATCAAGATGGAGAATCACTGGGCTCAGTCCTTCAGTTTAGCAGCCTGAGAGTCTGTCCGCTTAGTAAGCAGCCTTTTCATTTGACTCATATGGAGTTGGCTGTCAGCGAAAACCCTCAGTTTTATTCACACATGCTTCTGCTAAGCCGCCGCTTCCCCGCTGTGTCCTCGTACAGTTGGTGCCTTGGAGCCGAGCCCGGATCTCTCAGTTAAGCCCTGTTCATTTTACCTTGTGAGGTTCAGGTTGCTGCTCCATCCAGCAGGTTAGGATGTTTTGGGACCCCGAGTGTATCTCCTAACATACTCCCCGTCCTCCCTGGCTTCCTGCTACCCACAAAGGTGAGGGACTCGTTTACTGTGGCTTTACCCAGGCCCTGATAAAGAGGTGGACCAGCACAGGAGGAAGGACAAAGCCAGCTGACAAGGTCAGCTTCCAGGGCATTCCTTATGTGCAATGCACCATGCCCACCTGGAGAAGGACATCATCTAACTTCCTTGCATCGCACTCATAAAAACTGGTCCATCTCCCAGGGAGATAAACAGAGGCACAGAATATGAATACTGCGTCCAAGAACATCCTGCTGGGGTAGGAGCCAATCTTTCCTGCTATCTGCAGCTCTCGTCTCTAGGTTTATCACCTGTCAGAGGAAAGGCGGGAGAGAAAAGTGACGAGGTTGGCCCTTTTGATTAGAAAGAGAAAGATTTTTAGAGTTGGAAGGAATCTGAGAAGGAATCAAAAGCTTAATAGATCAGGGAGCACAGGTAACTTGCCAAGATCTCATGGCAAACTTTTGCTCTGGTTGAGACTAAACTCTGGGTTTTTGAGGATGGGCCCAGTGCTCACTCAGCTAACGTTCAGGTCGGTTTGATGACACGTCAAAGGGAAATACAGGTGGGGTGCTTGGGTGGCTCAGTCAGTTAAGCGTCAGACCCTTGATTTCGGCTCAGGTCATGATCTCATGGGTCGTGGGATCGAGCCCCGTGATGGGCTCAGTGTGGAGTCTGCTTGGGGTTCTTTCCCTCTTCCTCGGTCTCCCCCACTTGTTCTCCCACCACCCCACCCTGCACATGCTCTCTCTCAAATAGATAAGTCTTTTAAATAAATAAAAAAAAAGATGCTCTCTCTCCCTCTCCTCCTGCCCCCTCCCTCTCTAAAAAACCCCCCAAAACAAAGGGAAACACACATGGGACTTATTGTAAGTCCCAGATGGTTCCTTCTGTGATTCTAGAAGGGCTTGGCATAGGAGGACAGGCAATGTCTTCCCCTGGGGCTTTGGCAGAGAACTCTTGACGGTCTCTCCTCTCCTCCACAAAGGACCAGAAGCCCAGCCCCTGCCTCTCAGCACCTGCCTCCATCCCCAGCCCCAGCTCTCAGCGTGCAGACGTGGCTGGGTCTGGAGCCACAGCCGGACATACAGCTGGACTGGTGGACGGCTCCTGGTCCTCACTCTCACACCTGCCTCATCAGCTGTGGGGCTGTGGTGGTTAAAGGTGGTGGGAGGTTGGCCCTTGTCCATGAGTCGAGTCCTCACGCTTACGACTTCATGAGCTCAGCCCACCCGCTTGAACAGGGGACAGCCTGCTTCCAGTCTACAGCCAGGAGCACCCCTTACTCAGCCTGCCCTGGGAAGATACATCAGTCCCTGATCCACACAAACTGCTGAGAAAAAAAAAAAAATCAATCCAAAATGCACATCAGCGAAGACGCTTATTGTGGAAAGAACAGCATTTATACTGAGGAGGGAGTAATACGAACTGTATTTCCCTTGCCAGTGTCTGCTAATAAATAATGGGAATAAATAATGATAAGGACACTATTAAGCTCATGTGCAGATACCATATTAAGTACTTTACATACATTAAATTGTTGACTGCTTACAACAACAATTTGAGGTATTACGATCCCCACTTTCTAGGTGAGAAAGAGGAGGCACAGGAAGTTACGTGTCACAAGACAGGCCAGCTTGTCAGCAGCTAGGTTCATGGAGCAGTGAGTGTGACTCCCTATGATGGGCTGGGAAACAGGCCCCTGGGGATACAACAACAAAGGCATCTTCATTCCGGAGGTAGCTAGCCTTTGGCCTGAGAGGCACCCTGGGCCTCCAGGCTCTCAAACCCCACTGCTTTATCAGGTAAGTGAGCTGACAGTAAAGCTCACTGACAAGTGAGCATTCCAGACCTGCCTCCTGGGTTCTAGGCACCAGAGTCTCCTTGGGAGGCATTATGTTGAATATAAGTTCTTAACCGCCAAAGCTCACATGTGCCAAACTCTCCAGCAAATGTGTCTCCGTGGATCACGCATGACACAGACCTACCAGTGACTTCCCTGAGAGTCGCCTTTCCCTGGATCCCCAGCCTTTCCCTAGGAGGCACGTGCTTTCCAGTGTGCCCACCAGGGGGCATCCTTGCCCTTCTACCTTCTGCCGGGGGGGGGGGGGGGGGGGGGATGGGCAGACACTGTGGGGTGTCTGCTACTCAGCTCAGCCCAGGAGCCCCATTTCCCAAACTGGTTATTCGTGTGACCTCCCTGATTTCCTCCATACCCACTCCACCATTATTTACACAATATTTTTCTTTGGCGTTTCACATTTTAAGAAACCTAAGTGTATTTTTGTAAGAAAAAAAGTCCTCTTTGATGAAGGTTTTCCTGGCTCCCCTTGCTGCACGGATTTCCTGCATTCTGAGGGCTGCTGGGTAGGATGAGGGCAGGAGAGTACAGGCCCCAGTGAAGCTACAATTGGGGGTCTCAATGGGGTCCAGGCACGGCCATCCCTGGACAGAGGTGGGTGAGGCTCTCTCCTGTGGATTAGAGCCTCAACCTTCAGAGCCCAAGATCAACGGGATCGGAGTAAGGAGTACTGAAATCTCTGCCTGCCTTGGGGCATCCCCAATCCCCTGACAGGAGAGGAGTCTGGTTCCTGTCCTTCCCCAGGCTGAGGGAGAGGGAGGGGATTATCTTTCCAGGCAGACAAGAGGGAGGGACTTGGGTGCAGGAGCAGGGACGGCTGCAGGTGACAGGTGTAGGGTCTCTGGGAAAGGGCCAGGATTTCCCTTGCAAAATCCATTCAAACCGACCAAAGGTGAACCTGATCCCAGGGAGGGAACAGGGAACTTCCAGGGCACCAGAGGGGCCCCCAGAGGGGCACAAGGCTGGACGGAGGTGAGGAGGGGGGATGAGAGACTGAAGGCTTGGAGGGAGGGGACAGAGGATGAGTCCTGAGAGCAGAGGGCCGGAAAGCAGGGAGGAGTTCCACAGCTGCTTCCACAGGCTGTGAGGTCTTGTTACGGGATCCACCCCACTGGTCTTGGAATCTCAGAATCGTTTTTCGGGGGGGAGGGGTATTTTTGTGCTAGGAATCCCCCTATCTCCAGCCCTCTGTGCTCTTATCCTGGCCCAGACTGGCCAGCAGAGGCAGCTTAGGGCCTGGGGGAGGGTCCCGCAGTTGTTCGGGGGTGGCACGAACGCCCACGGTGGGCCCTAGGGCAGAAAGGCAGGCCCCGAGAGGGGAAGGAAGTCCCAGGCAGAGCTCCCTGCTCCCCCAGCGAGGTTTAGAAGGGTGATAAAGAGGAGCCGTTTCGGCAAGAGGAAGTGGGCTGGTCGAGCAAGGCTGGGCCTGAGCTCCCTGGGCCCGGTCAGTGTTAGGTTCGTGCACCCCGAGAAGGAACCCAGAGCTGAGACCCCTCTGAGCAGGCTCCTGTTCCCAGTTTTCTCACCCCAGGCCCTGGGCACAGAGCAGAGGGCAGAGAGCCTGGCAAGAGAGTGCAGTGGAGGCTGGTGGCCAAGGGTCGCTGCGTGTGGAGTCATGTCTGGTCTGTGGAGGTGCCAGGCCCCTGCCAGGCCCGGAGGGTCAGAGGAGTCATGTGTGGTGGCAGGTGAGAGGCGTGATTGCCTCACTTTCATGTGAGGAAGCATTGAGAAAGAGGAGCTGGGTGTTCAGCAAACTTGGCTTATTCAAAACACCCGATCCCAGCTGGGCCCTACCCCACCTTCAACTTCCACGTCCACAGTGGCCCCAGCCTCCTCAGGCCCTGGAAGAGACTCCTATACTTTAGAGCCCACCTCTGCGGAGGTCCCCTCCCCCGGGGAGCTCCTGACACCCTTCCCTCAGGCCCCGCCTGGGCAACAGTAGCCCCACGTGGTCCCCATATTGTTCCCTCTCTAGCGCCTCAGCTTCATCTGACGGGGAGACTACCCCTGGGGCTGAGCCCGCCCCAGCCCCCAGCCCTGGCTCCAGGGAGACTGGCCTCAGAAGCCACCCCTCAGTCCTGAAGAGCACAGAGAAGGAAGCCCTGAGCAGGAAGTGCTGAGGCACAGGGTGAGGGCGGGGGCTTTGCAGAGGGGAGCCTAACCTCCCTGGGCAGGAACAGTGACCACAGTCCCCCCTACCGCCCCCACCCAAGGCAGGTGGGAGGAGGCCAGTTTAAAAGGCAGATGGGCCTCTGGCCAGAGCATTCAGCTCTGCAGCCAGCCACAGCCACCCGTGGGCTCTAAGAGTATCCAGACTTCCGGACCCTCTCAGGGCGGGTGCCATGTGACCCCAGCTTGGCTCACCTCCAGCCGGCCTTCCTTCCTTCCCTCCTCCTGCCCGCGTGGGCCTGCCCAGCTTCTCTAGAGAAGGACGCTCAGCACCATGTCTCTGCTCAACTCTGTCCTGCTGCCCCCCAAGGTGAAGGCTTATCTGAGCCAAGGGGAGCGCTTCATCAAATGGGACGATGTGAGTGTGGCACTGGGGTGGTGGGAGCCCTGCTGTTAGGGGCTTTGTTGGGGGGGGTTGGTTTACATCTGCTGGGACCGGGCGATGGTGTGGCTTGGCCAGGCAGCGGGTACAACAGCCTGGATAAACAAACCTGGGGGTGAGGGTATGTGCCCCAAGCACGCATCCCTGGACTGCCGGGGCTAGGGCTCTGTGTCTGGACTGACAGGGGGTGGGCCGCCTGGGCGCTCACTGGAGGGACCTTCTTTGCGCTTGGGTCTGTCCTCCCCCAAAGCCCCAAGACAAACAGGGGGGATCCTGATCTCGGTGTGAGTGGGAGGAAAGTGCCCCAAAGCTGTGGCAGGGCTGGAAGCTGAGGTGAGCCAGGCCCCCACTCCTAGCATAGATGCCCCACTCTTGCTCTTCCTCATCTGGCCTTGCCCTGGTCCAGGGAGGCCCCCTTCTCCCCTGAGCTGCCGTGGGGCAGCCATAAAAGGCTGGGGGACCCTAACGGAGAACCCGAGGCTTCTGCTCCCAGGGGACTAGGAAGGAACTGATTGACTTCTGCTTCTGCTGGCTGCTTTCAGCCGAGCTCCCCGCCACCCGCCTGTCTGCAAGGAAAGGGGGGGAGCCACTGCTTTGCCCTGTACCTCCGTCTCTGCTGTCTGTTCCTTCTCAGACTGGGGCCTGCCTCCCAGACTCTGGTCCTCCTGGCCCCTGAAAATGTTGTGTTGTGACAGGCCAGGGATTCTCTTGGGCAGGCAAGAGAACAATCTGGGGGTCCTTTGTGAGGCTGCTAGGCAGGCCCATTAATAGAATCACAGTGGGCTGGCCCCAGGAAGGAAAGAGGAAGGCTCTAGGGGGAGAGGAGGCCCTTAGGGCTGGCTCATTCTCCTTACAGGTGGGATACAAGGGGATTCTGGGTCTGTGAGTTAAGGCAGCCTGGGGCTGTTGGCCATTCCAGGCTGCACTAGGCTGAGTAATCTGGTTGCCATGACTATGGGTAGGAGGCCTCTGGTTAGACGATTTCTGCTTCCCTACAAGTGGTGTGGGCGATGTGGCATGGTGGTGACAGGTCCCAAGAGACTGTGGAATGAGGGAAGTGGCTCAGAATGAAAAATGAAGTGGCCTCTCTCAGTTCCTCTGGGAAGTGTGTGTAACCTGACTGGGCAGAGGGTCATTAGGGGTGGGGACATGCTATATGGCCTTGTCTGCAGGCCACTACCTGTGTAGCTGATTGTTGCCCCACTCCCCTCCCCTGAGGCAGGTCACGGCATGGCCCCAGGATCCTGACCTCCAGGAACAAGAATCTTCTAAGCCTAGTCACAGGACATACACAGCTGTGAGACAGGGCTCTGTTCAGAATGCCTTTGGTCCAGTTGTCAGAGGACTTGAATATGTCATGTCATGTTGAACAAGCACAATGCAAAAGATGTAACCAACTCCCAACTTAATTTTGCCTCCCATGGTCCCTTTACAATGTATTTGGTGGGAGAAGCTCCTCTCCTGCCCATGGAAGGACACTCAGCCAGTCACAAGACGTTCCATTTGCTTTTGGGTAATAGACAATCTTATGGTCACTTTTCCTCAGAAATCCCAGTCTTATTTCAGAAGCGAGTTATAATTCAAAACTCAAATCTTACTTTGAATGACATCTTCCGCCCTCCTCCTTCTAGGAGTGGTTTTAGGTGGGCGGTAGGTCCTCTGAAAAGGCCTGTGGCAGGATTCCCTGATCTTTCTCCAAGCCCCCTCCCCACCATGGGGTGCAGGCAGGGAGGTGGGAGACGGGTACTGAAGTTCTTAATTGAATGGGTGCTGTCATCAACAGGCTCATGCTTTCTGAGCCTGGCAGAATGTTAGGCTTATTCTTTCTCTGGTGGACATTTTTGAGGATTCCCCTCAAAGTGAGGAGACCCTTCCCCACTGAGCTGGTGGTCCCTTTACGTAAAGATCCTTCTGCCATCTCTACTGCAGGTCACTCAAAATTACTTCTTCAGCCCCTTGGGATCAAGTTTCTGCCTTCAGTTTCCTGTAGCTTTGGACTCTGCCCCTCTTTCCCATGGGCCCACTCTGGACCCCAGCACATACTCTTGTGTTCACTGCCCCAACATCTCTGGGGTTTGGGCTCATCTAGCACAACCAGGGTCTCAATGCCTCTGACACTCAGTTTCCTGGGCAGGAGTCAGTCTCCAGGCTACTTTGCCCCACAACTGCAGGGGTGACCAAAGCTTTCTAAGTATAGTTGAAACCCCTCACTAGTCTTAAAGTGAGGGGTCAGGGGGCACCTGAGTGGCTCAGTCAGTTAAGCGTCTGACCCTTGATTTCGGCTCAGGTCATGATCTCAGGGTCATGAGATCAAGCCCTGCATAGGGCTCTTCGCTCAGTGGGGAGTCTCACACACACTCTCTCTCTCTCAAATAAATAAATCTTAAAAAAAAAATAAAGTGAGGGCTCAGGCACCGCCAACCCTCCCTTGGGGAGGTAAGGGAGTGGAGCTCACAACACAGCTTTCTCCAAAATTAGTCCCCTCACAAAGTGTTCTTTATCCCAGACTCTAACCATCCCTGACCTGAGAACCTTTTTTTTTTTTGACCATTTCCTTTGCAAGTTCTTTTTTTTTTTTTTTAAGATTTTATTTATTTATTTGACAGAGAGAGACACAGCGAGAGAGGGAACACAAGCAGGGGGAGCAGGGGAGGGAGAAACAGGTTTCCCAGCAGGGAGCCTGATGCCCCCACCCATGTGGGGCTCCATCCCAGGACCCTGGGATCATGACCTGAGCCGAAGGCAGACGCTTAACGACTGAGCCACCCAGGTGCCCCTCCTTTGCAAATTCTGCACTTGGTCTGGTTTGGTGTGCAACTACCATGCCTCGTTGGAAATTTCAATTATATTATCTTGTTTTATATGCATATGAAGACCATCAAAATGAAGGCTAGCCTGTGTGCTCTGTGAGTGGAACAAGAATTTAGAAGCGAGTTCATTGATCATTCACTGGCTTCTTCCACAAACTTGGAGCCCTGAGCTCATGGTCTAGCACATGAGCTTATGGTCTAGCTTATGCTACAGCACAGGCTGGTTTCCCTGGAGTCCACAAGCCCTTGGGGATTTTCCGGATGGGCTTCTAGCTGTGCAAACCACATACACACTGTTATAGCATGTTTCAGGGAAGGCTCTTCAGAAAAGGGGAGACTTGGGGGTGCTCTCTGAAGATATTTCAAGCAGGGGAGGGTTGGGTTCTTAGGCTTGGAGGTGCGAATGCGCTTGGTGCCTATGGGAGAGTTGGAATGGATTGGCTGGGCAGTGGTTTGTGGAGGGGAGGATGGGGCATGCGGGAAGCCAGATAACAGGTGGATTGTATAGGGCCTCGGATGCAGGCACAGGAGTTGGGCTCTTAGCTCTCGCTGTGCTGAGTTCTCCTGGGTGGTGGCACTGGGCCTTTCAAAGAGACATTCTACCCCTTTGGCTCAGCTGTGGCCCTTAAAAACAGGGTGAGGTGGGGGCCAAGACCCTGTTTGGGGTCTACAGGGAGAACCTCTATTTGGGGTTTAGAGGGGAAACCTCTTCTCTTTCAGAAATGCTATCTCTGATTCTCTACCCCTCCCCACCCCTGATTCAGAGGTTTTAAGGCTTGTGCCTAGCGCATAGGTCTGGAGAACCAAGACTATGCCTGCAGATTCCCTGGGCAGCCACCTCCCAGGGAGATGGTGAGCTCTGAAACCCCCGGCCTGGGCCAGGGAAGCCTGGCCTGAAGTCTCAGAGCAGAGAGCTGACCCCCTTCTGTCTTTTTTGTTTGTTTGTTTATTCGTCTTTTTTGGCTTCTGTTTCTTTTTCTTTTGACCACCTCTGCCTATAGGAAACTACAGTAGCCTCCCCGGTTATCCTCCGTGTGGATCCCAAGGGGTACTACTTATATTGGACATATCAGAGTAAGGTGAGGCAGCCCCTACCTGAGCTCCTGCTGATCCACCAAGTCCAAGCCAGTCTTTCCATAGTGCAGGGGTGGAGGTGTGAATGCCCAGGGAGGACAGACTGATGTGGCAGGGTGGCTCCGTGGCAGCCTCTGGTCCTGTGGGCAGGGGCTTTGTGCTCTGGGAGGGAGGGTGCAGGCACTCCAGCCCTGGCTGCCTCAGGCCAAGATGCTCCAGCCTTAGCATCCCCTGGGGAGAGGGAAAGGGAAAAGGTTGCTTCTCTACCTGTGGTTCTGGGAAACTTGAGGGCTCAGAGAGATCAAGAAGGGTCTCGGCACTGGGAGGTGGGGAAAGGGAGGGGGGACTTGGGGAGAGTCCAGGAGGGTGTGGGCAAGACCGCAGACCTCAGCTCCTGAGTCACGTGAGTGGCCAGGGAAGGAACGGACAGAGGAAGGGAGGAGGCTCACCGTGAATAGGGAGAACCTGATTGGTGGGAAGGGAAGGTTGGGGTCCAGGCCACCCCAGAAAGTCTTGGTATCTACAGAAGGCAGTTGGCCAAGATGTGAAGGGGGTTGGAAGTTCTCTCCTCCCTGTTCTTCAGTCTTCACTGACCTTTTTGTCCACATCCCTTCTTTGCTCCTGCCGGGGCATCCTCCAGGAGATGGAGTTTCTGGATATCACCAGCATCAGGGATACCCGCTTTGGGAAGTTTGCCAAGATACCCAAGGTAGGTGGGCCCAGTGGCAGCCCAGGCTCGACATGGCCACAAGCTCCGTGGGGCGAGGACAGGGGTCCCTGTGGGGGTGGGAACCCTGGTCTCTGGAACGAGGGGAAGAGTCCCCAGGCTGGGCAGCAGGGCCTCCTCCCTGAGTTGAGGAAGATTCTGAGCTTACCAGAGCTTTGGTAGCAGGGGACCCTGAACAGAGATGTCGTGTGGCCAGGTCCTGCCCCCCAGAGCACCCCAGACTGTCTGGGAGTATTGCTTATGCCCACCACCCTCCCCATCTCGTTTGCCTATATTTGTCTAATGCCGGTAGGAACAGGGGAGGAAGGGTTTGGTGGGAAACAGGATTCCATGAGACTGAGAGCTAAGAATCCATCTTCAAACGAAGAATGGCAAACAAAACACTCAGCACACCCAGGCCGCACTGCTGGGTTCATCTCTTCCGGTGGGCTCTCCCACCTCCGCCCCCCCTCCAGCCCCTGGAGTCAGGGAGGCCAAGATGCTGAGGCCTGTGGCTCCTCCCAGGGAGATGGGATTCTACCCTAGGCGGCCCCAGTTCTAGTGCAGTGGGGAGGGACCGGGAGAGCCACAGTGGGCCGGGGACGGGGGCACACTTCTGATCCTAACCGTGTCACCGATTGCTGTAGAGCCAGAAGCTCCGGGATGTCTTCAACATGGACTTCCCCGACAACAACTTCCTGCTCAAGACGCTCACTGTGGTGTCTGGCCCTGACATGGTGGACCTCACCTTCCACAACTTCGTCTCCTACAAGGAGAATGTGGGCAAGGTGCGCTGGGGGCGGGGGGCGAGGGAGAAGGGGGAGGCCCAGGCCTGGGGCTGGGCACCTGGGGTAGCCTGGGCTTCCTGTGGGATAGGCCTGGGCTGCAGGGGGTTGGGGGTGCCCGTGTGTGGCCAGGGTCTGACAGCTGTGCTCTTGGGGTCCTGCAGAACTGGGCCGAAGATGTGCTGGCCCTGGTTAAGCACCCCCTGACGGCCAATGCCTCCCGCAGCACCTTCTTGGACAAAATGTAAGTGCCTGCCTGCCCGGCCTTGGTGTGCGGGGCTACGTGCCCCAGCCCCGGGGGTCTTGATGAGCTGCTTTCTGCCCCACCAGCCTGGTAAAACTCAAGATGCAGCTCAACCCCGAAGGAAAGATTCCTGTGAAAAAGTGAGTTTCCTCGACTCTCTCCCCACACTTCCGCCCTGCTCCTCAGAGCCTTCCCTCTCCAGGTCTGACCCCTCTCTTTGTCTGGTGCCTTTCTCTGCTCCTTTAGTTTTTTCCAGATGTTTCCTGCTGACCGCAAGCGGGTGGAAGCTGCCCTCAGTGCCTGTCACCTCCCAAAAGGCAAGGTGAGTGGTTCTCCCAGCCCAGCTGAAGCCCTCACCTGAGCTGGCTCTGACAAGAGGCCAACTTGGCCAAGCCTAGTTGGGGGGGGGCGGGGTTGGGAACGATAGCACAGTCTAGCCAATAGCCTGAAAAGTCAGTTGACCCTAGAGCCCCGGTTTCTGATACTAGGCACAGAGACAGATCCAAGGGAGTGTGGAGGAGATGCCTGGGTCCAGAGCAGTTTGGTCTATACTGCCGACTCCTGGGGGGCTGTGGGGGGCAGTGGTTGGGGGACTGCCTCTAAGGCAAGCAGCCGGGATGGCTGCATTCCCATTCTAGCCTTGGAATGAACGTTGAGAGTGAATGTTCTCACCTAGAGGAGCAAGATAAGGTCAGCAGGAATGGAGGCAACCTGCAGGGGTCTGAAATGTGGGGAAGGGGTTAGTTCTGCAGAGTGTGGGCGAGGGGAACAGACCAAGAGTCGAAGCTGCCAGGACACAGGCTTTAGCTCAACATAGGGAAACATTATTTTTTTCCCTTCTGATTAAGTAATTTTTAATTACAAGTTGTAGGCAGGGTCACCCCATGAGGGGCCTTATATGAATTACAAAAAGGAGCCCTCTGGGCAGATACAGCCCTGAGCCCAGGGTTTGTGTCTGGCTAGGGGAGTGGATTTCAGACTCCTGTGCGCCCTCGGCCAGGGCCTTTGTATAGGGCACCCCCTGCACCCCATGGGGTTTTGTCTCCTGATAAGAATTTGCAATGTGATAAGTGAATAAAACTAAGACCTCGTCAGTCACCTGTCCACATGGGGGCCGGGAAGACTACTCCCCCTCACGTCACAGCTCAACAGAGCTGGTGCCCCCTTGATGCCATCAGTCACAGGAATCCAAGCATGGGGTTGGAGAGGGCGTGGGAACAGGCTCCTGCGGAGGGCCCCGCAACCAGGACCGCTGCTACACATCCACCCTCCTTCTCTCCTGCCTCCTGAGCTCCCACCTTGGCTGTCCTCCTTATTTATCAGCTCTCCTTGTGTCCCAATAGGAGTCACTGACCCCTCTTTGCTTGGAGCTGATGGGTCCAAGATCCAGTCTTAGGGAGATATGGTCTGGCTCTCTTGTTCAGACCCTCTGCTCCAGCTCCAAACTAAGTCTGATGTTTGCCTTCCAGTAGGATCCTGGAAGACACTTAATGGGTTTTTCTGGGATGAAATGCAAAGGCACAGAATCCCCAGAGACCATTAATCTCCTTGCAGTTTCTATTTCTGTAACATTGCCCAACCTGGACATCATACACTATGTGACCTTTGATGTCAGGCTTCAGTCCGTTAGCATAAGAGTTTCAGGGTTCTTCCATGTTGTAGCCCGGAGCGGCACGTCATGCCTTTTCACCACTGAGTGATATCCCTGTGTTTGGAGGTTCCACCTTTTGCTTCTGTGTTCATCAGCTGATGACCTTTGGGTTGTGGCTGCTCTTTGGCCATTGTGAATAATGCCGCTACGAACCTTCGTGTGCATGACTTTGTCAGGACATGTGTTTTCACTCTCTATACCTAGAGGTAGAATAGTTGGGTCACGTGACAACTTTATATTTAACTTTTTGAAGAACTGCCAAACCGTTTTCCAAAGTGACTGACCACGGTACAATCATACCGGCAACGTACAAAGGTTCCTGTTTCCTCAATGGCACTTGTTACTGTCTCTTTAGAATTGGTCTCGTCCTGTGGGAGTGAAGTGGTATCTCCTTGTGGTTTTGGTTTGCATTTCCCAAATGACTAATGAGATGGAGCATCTTTTCATGTGTTTATCGGTCATTTGCATATCTTCTTTGAAGAAATGTCTATTCAAATCTACTGCCTTTCCATTGGGTTATTTGTCTCTTTATTGTTGAGTTGTCCCTTCCTGGATATTTGATTTGCAAATATTTTCCCCTGTTCCGTGGACTGTCTTTTCACTTTCTTGATGCTATCCTTCGAAGCATAAAACTTTTTAATTTAGATGAAGTCCAGTTTGTCTTTTTTGTTGTTGTTGTTCTGGTGCTTCTTGGTGTCTCTAGCTATTATTGTTGAATTGTCCATTTCTCCCTTCAGTTCTGTCAGTTTTGGCTCGTGCATCTGGGGGCTCTGCTGTTAGGTGCATTGTTTCTATTCCAGTTGCCTCTTTTAGAAAATGTGTCCTCTGCTTTAAAAAAAGAAGGAAGAAGACAGCCCACTGCTCTGGCGGCAGACATGCTTACTTCTAACCTCTTCTTCTTCCCCCTGTGGTCATTCCTAGTTCCGATCCTGCCCCAGCCAAGGGACTAGCCAGTGTCCGAGTTCAGGGGCAAGGCAGACCAGCTAAGCATGCTCTCTACTCAGCAACCAGCCCCTTGAAAAGTGGGTGCTCAGGAGCCTGCTTGATGCTGCTCTGCCCGCCCTGAGCCCTCCCTCGGACAGGCTCCCTTGCACGGGCCTGGACCTCATTTGTGGTGTTTAGCGCGGAGAAGGTGGGTGCAGGAATGATCGGGTGACTATTCCCCCAGAACGATGCCATCAATCCTGAGGACTTCCCAGAATCCGTCTACAAGAGTTTCCTCATGAGCCTCTGTCCTCGGCCAGAAATAGACGAGATCTTCACTTCCTAGTGAGCTTCCTCGGCTGGGCTGGGCATGCGGAAGGACTGCTGGCTAAAATCCTGCTTGCCATGCTGGGAATTAGGTGGCTTCTCTGGAGAAGGCGGTTGTCCGTGCTCCCCAGCCGGGGGGTGGGGGGGCGGCGGGGCACAGACCTGAACCCTCTCTGGCCTGCAGCCACGCCAAGGCCAAACCCTACATGACCAAGGAGCACCTGACCAAGTTCATCAATCAGAAGCAGAGGGACCCCCGTCTGAACTCTTTGCTGTTTCCACCGGCACGGCCTGACCAGGTGCGGGGCCTCATCGACAAGTATGAGCCCAGTGGCATCAACGTGCAGAGGGGTGAGGACTCAGGGAGCCCCTCCCCTCCGTGGCCTGACCCGCTCTGCCCAGGGACTGCAGGCCTGACAGCTCTGTCCTGCTCTGCCCCCCAGGCCAGCTCTCCCCGGAGGGCATGGTGTGGTTTCTCTGCGGGCCCGAGAACAGTGTGCTGGCCCAGGACAAGCTGCTGCTCCACCAGGACATGACGCAGCCACTCAGCCATTACTTCATCAACTCCTCACACAACACCTACCTGACAGGTGACCCAGGGTGACCTCAATCTCTTCTGGGGGTGGGGGGGGTGGCTTCTGTTCCCCAAATCCATCCCTCTGCGGGGCTGGCCCTCGGGCTGCAAAAGGACGGACTGTGTGGGAGCGGGCTGGGGCAAGTGGGACCAGCCTTGAGCGAGCCCCCGCCTCCCCCCACCCCCCTCTGGCTCAGCCGGCCAGTTCTCTGGCCTTTCGTCGGCCGAGATGTACCGGCAGGTGCTGCTGGCTGGCTGCCGCTGCGTGGAGCTGGACTGCTGGAAGGGCAAGCCCCCTGACGAGGAGCCCATTATCACCCACGGCTTCACCATGACCACAGACATCTACTTCAAGGTGAGACTCCTGTGTGGAAGCTGGTGGCAGTGGCACTAGGAAGGGCCCAGGGGGCAGGGATGGGGGAGCGGGTGAAACAGAGCGGAGGAATGGCTGCGAGGCCTCAGACCAGTGAGGGGACCAGAGGGGACCCTAGGAGACAGGGCCCACAGTGGCTCTCCAGTTCTGTGTGTATTGAAACTGGGAAGTGGGGAAGGGTGCCTGCCGGGGGGCTGGACCACTGACCTCCTCTTCACCCGGCCCCCTTCTCCTCCAGGAAGCAATTGAAGCCATTGCAGAAAGTGCCTTTAAGACCTCCCCCTATCCTGTCATCCTGTCATTTGAAAACCACGTGGACTCGTGCGTATCAGACCTTTTCGGCCTCCTTCTCTCCCCTATCCTCAACTCCTGCGGGCAGCTGCCCTCCCCCAGCCCCCCCCACCTCTAGTCATGCCCTCCAGCTCTCTCCTGGGCCTCCACACAAGCTCCCTGGGACCCCAGGCTCTCCTGCCTATGTCCCCGCCTCCCCGACCCCCTGTGGCCCTGATGACCTGGGTCGGGGCCCAGAAGGACGGACAAGGGGAGGGTGGACCTGCTGAACCCTACCCCACCTGCGCTCCCTGCAGACCCCGCCAACAGGCCAAGATGGCCGAGTACTGCCGGATGATGTTTGGGGATATGCTGCTCACAGAGCCCCTGGAAAAGTTCCCGGTGAGTCGACTTCACTGTGGGGGCATCCAGGCCTGGGGGCTGGGGGCCTGGGGCAGTGTGGGGGCCAGGTTAAGGAGGCAGATGTCCCCAGAGGATGTTGGAACTTATCCGGGAGGATTGTGGGGCCAAGACCCTACCATTTACGACGTGTCAGGCGCCGTGCTGGGCTTTGGGGGGCAGGTTAGTGACAAAGACCCAGTCCCAGCCCTCAGGTTGCTTACGTTTAGCGGGGAGACAGACGAGGAACCAGGCCAGTGCAACCAGTGGCTGCTATGGGAGTACTTGGGCATCAGGGAAGGCTTCCTGGAGGAAGGGATGGCAAGCTGGAATCCAAAGGAAAACTGGATCTATCTTGGTGACAGTGGGGGAAAGGGTAGTTGAGGCGGGTGAGGGAGAAGAGTGTTGTCTGAGGAATTGGATAAGCTGGGTCGGCAGGGGCGCGGCACACAATGGCGGCAACGGCGGGAGGCGAGGCTGGAGAAGCAGGCAGGGCAGATGGAACGCAGCTTGATATGAAGGAGCTGAGGCTGTCCCCTGAAGGCGTGGAGATGGTGCTGACCGTCTCCCCGCTCCCACAGTTGAAACCAGGCATCCCCCTGCCCAGCCCTGAGGATCTCCGAGGCAAGATCCTCATCAAGAACAAAAAGAACCAGTTTTCTGGCCCAGCAGCCCCCAGCACTGAGGGCAGCTGCTCCCCCACCGCCTCTGTGGGTGAGGACACCGGTGAGTCAGCCTGGGTGGGGAGTGGCCGGGGTGGGGGAGCCTCTAGACGGGGAGAGAGGGGCTGGGCCTGGAGGGGGTGCGTAGGGATCCTGGTCTCAGTGCTGATGGAGGCGCGGTGTGTGTGGCAGTGTGGGCTGGTGAGCAAGGGGCCGAGCCGGAGGAGGAGGAGGCGGAAGAGGCGGAGGAGGAGGAAGAGGAGGAGGAGGAGGAGGAGGAGGAGTCGGAGTCGGGGAACCTGGATGAGGAGGAGATCAAGAAGATGCAGTCGGATGAGGTGTGTAGGGGGCAGCCCCCAGCCCCTTCTGCTGTCTCCATGGCAGAGCCCTCCAGGCACGGGGGCGTGGGGCCACCTCCCTGGGTTGGGGACTGCCCTCCCCCTCCCTACCCTCCCCTCTCCTCCCTAGGGCACAGCGGGCCTGGAGGTGACAGCTTATGAGGAGATGTCCAGCCTAGTGAACTACATCCAGCCCACCAAGTTCATATCCTTTGAGTTCTCTGCCCGTAAGTAAGCATGCGGTAGGAGGAAGATGGTAAGCCGGAGGCTAGGCTAGATTCAGGGGAAGACCCTTAAGAAGGATGTCCTGACAGCAGAGCAGCTTGATGGGTGGGAGGAAGGGGATGGGGGAGCGTCCCTTCCTTGGACGCGGGGGCCCTATTTATAGAAAGAGCCAGGCAAAGGGCTTCTTTAAGTGGCAGTGGCTCCCAGTTTACCAGTGCTGTACTGAGGAACTTGGCACCAAGCCAAAAGCTCTGGAGTGTGTCGGTGACTGGCCAGCCACTTATGACAGGCCATCTTAGCTCAATTGGCCCTGGGCTCCTACAGCCTCCCACAGGTTCTGTGGCGCCCGGGGCTGACCGGTGCCTCGGGCTGGCCCACACCCAGGAGCGCTGGCCCTGCCGGCCATGAGAACTCCCGGGAAGAGCCACGGGCAGAGAAACTGGCCAGGGCACATCTGGCCCTCGCACCCTTCCCTCCCTGTGCACACCCATGCTACATAGCTTCTCTGCTCTTCTCAGCTGTGCGTGCCCCCAACGTGAATACCTCCTTCTGCACACACTCGTGCCGTATATGCCTCTACCACACTGACTGCTCATCCCTGGACCCGCAGTTCGCAGCGCCCCCGTGCCCACCCATGCCATGTGTGCCCCCTGGTGTACACCTCCCACCCCTGCGCCCACCCCTCAGCCGTAGCTTGTGTGCTCACTCTCTGCACATCATCGCGTGTTCCTGACCCCCTGGGCTCCCCTTCTCTGTGCCCTCCAGGGCATGTGCCCCTCACTCTCCAGGACACACCCCATCCGCGTGCAGGTCTCCCGAGCACACCTTTTACCCCCCAGTGTGCCATTACCCACAGAGATCTGCACATCAGCTTGGCCCCTTCGATCCTTGGGCCTCAGTGGGAATGCTAGGTTGGAGGGATCTCTGTGCTGGAGGGAGCTACCCCAGAGGGAGAGCAGGGAGGAGGGAAGGGGGGGCCAGCCTGACATGGCCCCCTTGCCCTTTCTCTCTCACACAGAGAAGAACCGAAGTTACGTCATCTCGTCCTTCACAGAGCTCAAGGCCTATGACCTGCTTTCCAAGGCCTCAGTGCAGTTTGTGGAGTATCCTTGAGGCCTCCATAGCCAGGGTCCCTGGTTGGGGTGGCGGGATGGGGAAGGCCTGGGGGACAGCGCACGCAGAGGGAGCTGTTGGGTCCTCCTGGTGTGGACAGCCTTGGGCCAGCTCCTAAACTCTGGGGCAGCTACAACAAGCGCCAGATGAGCCGCATTTACCCTAAGGGCACCCGCATGGACTCCTCCAACTACATGCCCCAGATGTTCTGGAATGCCGGTTGCCAGATGGTTGCCCTCAACTTCCAGACGATGGGTGAGGATACTCCTAGGCCCCTAAGAATCTTCTCCTGCCCCCTGCCTCTCCTACCTTCACCCCATTCCTGGGGGGTTGTCTTTAGAAGAGACCAGGGGTCCTGATGTTGGTTGCACGTGCAGGCCTGTGAGCAGTTAGGGATATAAATGCATCGGCTCATGCCTAGATGATGGCACACGTACGAGTATGCACGTGAAGATGCCAGTGTGCTGGCACGAGTTCTGGCTGCTCTGCCTGAATGAGCCCATAGGAACACCAGCTTCACCAGCCTCAACTCCCACTGTGAGGCATGGCCCAGCCGTGGCCTTGCTCCCACTAACTCCAGGTTGTGGAGCCTTCCTGAGAGATGAGACACCCTAAGGAAGCAGGCTGGGTCATGAGAGACCCTCATCCTCCCAGTCCACCCAAGCTCCCCATTCCACAAGACAGGAGAGGCTGGGGGATGTAGGAAACAGAAACTGGGTGCAGACCTGGGGCTGGGCCTTCCTCACTGAGTGCCCTTGTCCCCCCAGACCTGCCCATGCAGCAGAACATGGCGCTGTTTGAGTTCAATGGGCAGAGTGGCTACCTCCTCAAGCATGAGTTCATGCGGCGGCCCGACAAGCAGTTCAACCCCTTCTCGGTGGACCGCATCGATGTGGTTGTAGCCACCACCCTTTCTATTACGGCAAGGCCCTGGGGAGCACGAGTGGCCAGGAGGGTTGGGGTCTTGAGGAGAGAGATACAGGAGCTCTCCTCCTCCACTCCCAACCCCCTCCCCTGATATCCTGAAAACTTTAGCCCAAGCCAGTTCGTGCAGTAGCAAGTTGCCTTGGAAACTGCCTCCTCCTCAGCACTGGAGGCTGCCTCTTGGTCCCCATGGAAACCAAGGGGAAGGGCTGAGGCTGGGGTGGGGGAGGGGAGAAGAGTAGGCAGAGTGGGGCCGCAGGAGCCCCAGGCCCTAGGGGAGGGTGCTGTTTTCCTTCTTGGCCTGGGGAGGGAGGTGGGGAGGGCCACACCTCTTCCCTGAATGCTGGAAGCATCTGGTTGCGGAGAGCTTAGCTGTAACCCTTGAGCCACACGGGCCTGGATGGGGCTCTTTACAGTAGCCCAGAGCGATGCTTCAGCTACAGGAGCTAGAGGCCCCAGATGCGAGGCAAGAGCTCGGGTGGGAGAGCTGAGGCTGGCCTCCCATGGGTCCCCATCCCCAGGTGATTTCTGGGCAGTTCCTGTCGGATCGCAGTGTGCGCACGTATGTGGAAGTGGAGCTGTTTGGCCTTCCTGGGGACCCCAAGAGGCGCTATCGCACCAAGCTGTCACCCAGCGCCAACTCCATCAATCCTGTCTGGAAGGAGGAGCCTTTTGTCTTTGAGAAGGTGGGGAGCTAGGGCAGGGCAGGGGCTGGGGTCTGTCCCTACTTCTTGGCCTCTACTCATAGAAAGAAGGAACTAAATAAAGGGACTTCCTTGATCGTCCGCCTCTCCTTACCCATCACCCTGTCCCCTTCTAATTTTTAAGAGTCCCAATCCACATTTACAGAAATTTACTTGGTGAGAAAGTTTTATGTGGGCATCTGTGTGTGTGTGCGCGCACGCACGCATGTGTGTTTATGTTAGGATGAGAGGCAGAAATGTGAACGCCCAGTCCAGGGTACAGAGTTCCAGTCCAGGGGGGTCTTTTGCCCTGATTGGATTCTCATTGGCAAGGCTGTCCAGGACTTTCTACACTAGGACCCCCAAGTCCTGGGCTACGGAGCCAGCCCTTCTCCCCTGTGTGGACCAGCCAGGGCATGAGCTAAGAGGATGCCTCTGTGTGTGGCCTAGAGTGTGTCCTCTGTCCTCCCCAACTCTGGTAACACTTGCCATGTTCTCACACTGACGCTAAGACTTCTGAGGCCAGGGAGGTGGGTGGCTTGGCCACCCTCTCCCCTCCCCAGCTTGTCTTATCCTGAACTCTCCCTAGATCTTGATGCCTGAGCTGGCCTCCCTCAGGGTGGCTGTAATGGAGGAAGGCAACAAATTTCTTGGACACCGCATCATCCCCATTAATGCCCTGAATTCTGGTAAGGATGGAGTCCTTCTTTGCTGTTGCTAGCCCGGTCTGAGACCAAGACCTGCGTTAGGAGCCTGTCCAGAGGGTGCAGCAGCTTCAGGGAGGTGGCCCTGCGACCTTACCTAACCCTCTCATGTAACATCCCTGAGGACTGTGGCAGGAACAGGAAACCCACAGAGGTGGGGCCTCTGCCCACCTAACAGAATGTCTGTAATTTTCTGGAACTACTGGGGCAATTTCCCAAGTAGCTGATACTTATTGGGCACTTAAAATGAGTTATGGGCTTATAACATATTCTCACTTAATCTTAACAATAACCACATGAGGGGCGCCTGGGTGGCACAGTTGTTAAGCGTCTGCCTTCGGCTCAGGTCATGATCCCACATTGGGCTCCCTGCTCGGCGGGAAACCTGCTTCTCCCTCTCCCACTCCCCCTGCTTGTGGTCTCTCTCTGTTGAATAAATAAATAAAATCTTTAAAAAAAACCCACAAAACAATAACCACAAGAAGTAGATCCTATTCACCCCATTTCACAGCTAAGGAAAATCTCAAGAGATTTAAAGTAAACTGCCCAACGTCACACAACCAGGAAGGTGCAGAACCAGACTCAGACTCTGGCCTCTCTGACTCTAAAGCTAGAGGTCTTGAGTACTGGGCTGCTCCTGAGCCATGCTGGGTGGCAAATGGGCATGGCTTACTGCCCACCCCATCATGCCCGACAGGCTACCACCATCTGTGCCTACACAGCGAGAGCAACATGCCCCTTACCATGCCCGCACTTTTTGTCTTCCTGGAGATGAAGGACTATGTACCTGACACCTGGGCAGGTAGGTGACCCATTCTCCCTCCCCCTCCTCAAGCCAGCCTCCAGAGTGGAGCAGGACAGGTAGCCTGGGGTAGGGGAGGATGGGGGAGGCTTCCAGGTTCATCTCCATACCAGGCCCATGATGCCCCTATGCACCCAGATCTCACCGTGGCTCTTGCCAATCCCATCAAGTTCTTCAGTGCCCATGACAAGAAGTCTTTGAAGCTGAAGGAAGCCATGGGAGGTCTGCCTGAGGTCTGCGTTGCCTGGTCCAGGAGCTTTGCCCTCTGGGAGGGAAGATGAGGGAGGGGGGCAGGGTCCTAGACTGAGAGACAGAGAGAGCTGATGGAGCCTTGTTCCTAATTTGCTCTCCCTACACAGAAACCCTTCCCGCTTGGGAGTCCAGTTGTCGGCCCGGTCAATGGGGCGTTGGCCCCAACGAGCAACGGCTCTGCAGGTATGCACGGCAGGGTCCTCACACAGTCTGCAAGGGCCTCGACCTCTCCAGCGGTACCCACAGGAACATCCCCCCAAAACAGACTTTCACCTGGGATGGGAACGACTGTGTCGGAAGCCTTAGCGCTGGGAAAGTGAGCTGGAGGGGCCCCATACAGCCACCCGCCAGGGGGCAGGGAGGAGCCGGCCAGAACCAGGGGACCCCCCCCCCCCCCGGGGCACCTGTCAGCCCCCCCTCCCCCCGTGGCTCTTGCAGCTGCCGGGTACAGGGCCAAGGAGGAGACCACGAAAAAAGCTGCGGGTAAGGCCTGCTGAGTCCGAGTGATCTTAGGAACGAGCCTGGGGGAGGGTCCGGGACTCCTGGAGGGGCGTGGGGAGGGGGTCCCCCCGGGCGGCGGCGCACCTCACCCCGGCCCCCCCAGAGCCGCAGACCGCCAGCCCGGAGGAGCTGCGGGAGCTAAAGGGCGTCGTGAAGCTGCAGCGGCGGCACGAGAAGGAGCTGCGGGACCTGGAGCGGCGGGGCGCGCGGCGCTGGGAGGAGCTGCTGCAGAGGGGCGCGGCGCAGCTGGCCGAGCTGGGGCCGCCGGGCGCGGGGGGCTGCGGGGGTCGCAGGCTCGGCCCGGGGAAGGGCTCTCGCAAGAAGAGGTAAGGGCGGCGTCGGCGGGCTCTGCCCTCGGTGGCGCTGGCGGGCGGGGACGGCCGAGGACTCAAGGCCTGTCCCCACGTGGCCTCCGCAGGACCCTGCTCTGCGAGCAGGCCGCCGGGGCCGCGCCCAGCGAGGGCCGCGAGGGCCGCGAGGGCCCCGAGGGCGCGGACGCGCGTGCGCGCGAGCTGAAGGACCGGCTGGAGCTGGAGCTGCTGCAGCAGGGTGAGGAGCAGTACGAGTGCATCCTGAAGCGCAAGGAGCAGCGCGGGGGGGGGGGGGGGGGGGGGGGGGGGGGGGAAGGGGGGGGGGCACAACCCAACCAACCCCCCCCCCCCAACCTCCGCACAGCAAAGGGCTTCTCGAGCTAAGCCTCTCCCTGCACTACCCCGCAGCAAATCGCCAAGATGATGGAGCTGGCCAGAGAGAAGCAGGCTGCGGAGCTGAAGACCCTCAAGGAGACCTTGGAGACGTATGATTGCCTCCCACCCATACCTGACTCTCACCTCCCGGGGAGGGCTCAGGCCCCACGGAACATCTCCCTGATGCCTGTCTCTCTGCAGTGACACCAAAGAGATGAAGAAGAAGCTGGAGGCCAAAAGGCTGGAGCGGATTCAGGCCATGGTCAAAGTCACCTCAGACAAGATGGCTCAGGAAAGGTGAGCCCTTGACTCAAACTCCAGGGCCAGTCTGAGCAGGGACCACTCTAGGTGGGAAGGGGCCTCCCTGCAAGTGGATCCTGACTCGTTTCCCAGAGATGTACCTGTCCCCTGGTGCTGGAAGGTTAATCCTATTTCTGTCACCTCTGGTCCTCCTTAGGCCAAACACAGAAGCCATCACTGTGAGCACAGAGGAGAATTTCATGGAAAACTAATCATACAAACAGGGGGGTGAAACCTTGGGACAGCAGCTTTCTCTCCCTGCATGCCATGAAGGACAGTGCATTTTAGTGAGGAAGCCCTCTCCTCAGATGGCCCCTGGAGCTCCCAACGGCCCCTCACGTCCTCCTTGGTTGCCCACAATTACCCCCACTGGCTGGTTATGCTCCTATGGTGGAGTCCTCATTTTGTCTACACCCTGAAGAAACTTGGTCTTACCCAACTCTTCCAAGGGGCCTCCTGCCCTCTCTGAAACTCTGATCACCCCAACAGGCTGAAGAGAGAGATTAACAACTCTCACATCCAGGAGGTGGTGCAGGTCATTAAGCAGGTGTGTAAGAGCTATGTTCTTCACACACACACACACACACACACACACACACACTCACTTACAACTCATCCTCTACATAGGAGGGCTGGGGAGGCCCCAGGCCTTTATGTTGTCTTTAGGAGATGCACAGTCCAGAGGGGGCCCATGCAGCTGGGGATGGGAGGAGGCAATGAAGGGGAGGAGGAACCCCCAGGCTATCCCAGGGTTCTGGCCTTTGTGTGGAGGTTAGGGTACCAGCCTAAAGGGATCTGTCTCTGGCCAGCTGACCTGGATGGAAATGATAGGGGCTAGCTGGCCAGGGAAAGATGGGATTGGGGTGGGTGGGTGGGTATGAGGGAGTGAGGGGGGGCTTCCCTGGGACTATTAGCAACAATAACAGGTGGCTGAGTTGGGGCCACCAGGAGGGGGGCTGCGGGGTCCATTTACTGAATCCCGACCTTGTGGCAGGCTCTAAGCCAGGTGCTTTACACGAACTGTCTCATGTACTCCTGTACAACGCAGCAAGACAGACGATTATCTTCATTTTCCACATTTAAAAGAACTGTTTGAGGGTTGACAAATTTGTCCCAAGTCTTACAGCTGGTTAACTGGGACTGTAGCTGGCTTTCAAGCCAGGTTGCCTGTCTGTGCTGTCCTGATTGCCTGCCTCTCACTCTCACCCAGATGACAGAGAACCTGGAGAAGCACCAGGAGAAGCTGGAGGAGAAGCAAGCGGCCTGCCTCGAACAGATCCGGGAGATGGAAAAGCAGGTGACAGGGACTACCACCCTGGCCGCCCGCCGAGTTGGCCTGCCCCAGGGAGCCGCCAGTCGGGAGATGGGTGGGGGCAGGAAGGGGACTCACCCCTCACTGGTGGGCTAGAGGCCCTGGTTCCCACGGGGTTCTGGGGCCCTTTAAGATGAGACAGCTCTACAGATCTCTTTGCTTGGTTGGCACCCCCTTCTCTGAGAGGCTCCCTGGTGGTCTCCACTACCCCTCACCTCCTACCCCAGTCTCCTGGGAGAGCTGAACAGACAGGGCATCTCCTTGTTTGACTATCCAGGGGAGGGAGAGTGGGCAGTTGGCCCCCTCCTGAGCCAGGCGTTGTCCCCACAGTTCCAGCAGGACGCGCTGGCCGAGTACGAGGCCAGGATGAAGGGCCTGGAGGCTGAGGTGAAGGAGTCAGTGAAGGCCTGCCTCAGGGACTGCTTACCCTCTGAGGCCAAGGACAAGCCTGAGAGGCCCTGTGAGGCCTTCAGGGAGCTGTGTGAGCAGGACCCGCTCACGGCCAAGGCGGGTGCCCAGGAGAGCTGCCTCTGATGCCCTCATCCTACTGGGACATTCTGTAAGGACATTCACTCTTCTCTGGGATGAGGCTCCATCCCCCCAGGAGGAAAGACCCTGGCATTCTAAGGCTGTGGGAAGCGGGGACTCTTTTGGACTCTGGAGCTCCCTCCTCAGTAGCCAGGCTAGAGGAGGAGGAGGCGGGAACCAGGTACCATCAGGGCGGGGGCCCATCTGAGGTTTAGAGGTCCTCTCCAATCTGACTTCCTACTCCTCGTCCTTCTTCTCTGCCTCTGAATAAGTGTCATATATAAAATTGTTGAGGGCAAAAGGCTATGGACTGGGAGGCAGGAAATGGGGTCCTGGCCCCACTCCACCTTCCCTAGTGTGCAACTAGTGGTGCCCCACTCTCGACTCTGTGTCCTTACCTGGAGGGCTAGGTCTAGCTCCCTGGAACCGCCACTCTAGCGCCTCCAGGTCAAACAGGACCGAACTCCAAACCCTCCTGCTGTGAGGCCCCTTCTCAGACCTGTCCTGAGTTGGTTCCCGGATACAGAGCCTGGCACTGCCTCTAAGCTCCCTGGGGATGGCTGCTTCCAGGATCCCAGGCTGAGGTCCCTTCCCTGGCCTCCTGCCTGTGGGGGATGGGAGGCTGACATGGAAAAGCTGCCTCAACAGTCTGCTGAGACAGCTGGGCCTGTGGTTAGGAGGGAGGGCTAAGGAAGGCCTTTGGGGCACTCACCTAGGCCTGAGGGGGGTACTTCCTAGTATGTACCCCCACTCAGGCTGCCTGACGAGGTCAGCATCATTTTCTCTCCTGACTTTATGAGGTTTATTTATTTTTCTCCTCACTCCTACTAAAGAGAACCCTGTCCCAATATTTCCTGCCTAAGCCTGGCCTTTGTTCTACAGCTAAGAAATGGGGGGCAGGGGGGAGCATGCTGCTAAAATGAAATGGCCTGGGGGAGAAACCCTTGGGAGCTGAACCCCAGGGTGAGGTCCCTTCAAGAGCCCAGTGGAATGGCCCCGCTTCTGGGCCTGAAGGGGATTCACTTCCCCTTCTGCCGGCCCTGATGCCACAACCAGTGGAAAATGAGGTCACCCCTCTTCTCCACGCCCCCACCCAGACGTGGCCTTTCCTTGTCTCCATCCTCAGGGCTGCAGCCCAAGAGCCTAGTGCAAAGGTGCCCCCTCCCTCTTGGGGAGCTGTGAACCTCCAGGCCACCTGGGCCCCTTTAGGCAAACTTAGAGTGGTCAGATTCTACCAGGTAGTTATGGTTGAACCCAATACTGGCTCAAATACTTGCTCAAAAGGGGTTTGCGGGCAGCTGTTCACTGCACCTATGGCATGGTCCCAAATCCCAAATGAGAACAGGTACTGGCTTGGGAGAGGCCAGGTGGGGGATTGATTCTGGGAAGAGGTTGTTTTCTCATCAGAGAGTTCTAACAAGCGCCATTAGCTCCGAGCACCTGTGCCTTCAGAAGATAAACGGAACCACCGCCACCACCCTCCATCCCTTTGGGGCCCTGACCCCTGGGATCCTAGCATTCCCTGGTTGCAGGTTGAGACTAGGGATCCTGCCCATTCACAGCAGTAAGGCCTGTCATTGACACGTCCAGCTTGCATACACCCTGGATACAGTGGGACACTTGTACCCCAGAGCAGTGCCCTGTCTTTAGCTCTCCTGCTGGGCACTCAACTGCCCCATCTCCCTGCCAACCCAGGGGTAGAGCCATGCAGGGATGAGGGTCCAGGCTAGAGGAATTCACTGACCCAGGCACACGGGCATAAGCCAGAGCCAGTATCAAAGAGAGCCCCCTGGGGAGTCCCTAGCTTTTGCCAGTGACTGCTGAGGGGAAGGAGAAACTGCCTTCCCCTAGCCTCTCAGCCAGACCAGGCAGAGTCTCCGGGCCCCCAGCGTGGAGCTGGGAAGCCCGGGAATGGGCTAGGAGATGCAGTCCTGCCTCCTAGAGAGGCCTCTGCGTAGCAGGTTGGGGCCTTCCCAGGAGGCCAGGCCCAGATACCTACCTCCCTGTTTTCTGTCCTCTGGAAAAAGGGTGAGGTGCCCCCTAGGAAAATGCCCTAGTCTTTGGGCCCTGGAGATGAGTTCACCTCTGGCTGCAGGGGATGTGCAGGGGAGGAGTTGATACCCTCCCTCTGGGCCCTGGGTAGGTAAATTCTTGCTGTGTATCTGTGGGGCTGGGACAAAGTCCCCTGTCCAGTCATTGTGCCTCCCTTTTACATTAAGGGAAGGGTCCCTACCCCCTTCTCAGTCCCATTGCTGACTCAGATACCAGAGTCCCCTGCTGACTCACCCCACCCCCTGCACCCCCCACCCCCCCAGCTCTCTGGATCTCCCAGCCGTGTGCCACCAGGCCCAACCCTGCTGAGCTGGTGCAACGTGACAGGCTGAGGGGGCTGGTGACACTTGAGGAGGAAAGAAAGGGGTCCGGGAGGGGGGCCAGCCACAGACAGAATGACAAGACTGCAGACCGTAGCCTAGCGCCTCTGGGAGGAAGCCCTTTTGCCAGCCTGGGGCCTGCAAGGGGAGAGGCTCAGCAGGTGGAGGGGAGGGGGGGAAGGGGAGTGCCGAGCGCCTGCCTGCTCCCTGCCTCAGCTCCATCTCCTGTCAGCCTTCGGCTCCCTAAGCGACAGCTTCTAATTCCGGCTGTCGGGGCCTCCGTGCTCTGCAGCACACGCGCAGCTTTTTTTCAGTTTTGCTATTTCTTTTCTGTTCAGAACATACTGAGCCTACGGAAAAGTCAGAGCAAAGGCTCCAGGGCCTGAGACCTGGCACCGTCCCCCCATCCTGCCACAGGCCTGGCCGGTTTGGTGGTGGCAGGTGGAGCGAAGGCACTGGCTGCTTCTTCTAAAGAGTGGCCAGCACGGCGCTCTGGGCCAAGCCAGGGTGAGGCCCTGACAGGGACCTGCTCCTGCTCACCTGCTTCCCTGGAACAGTCTCCATCCGCCCCGAGGCAGAGTTGTCTCGGGGAAGCTCACGGAGGAGGGGCCATGGTTCTTTAGGACCAAGCAGGTGCCCATTCCATGCTCACACTGCTTCTCTCTTCTACCTGCGCTGTGTCACCACCGGCTTGTCAGGCTGGCCTGCCTGCCGCACACAGATTCCAGGGTTACCTCCTTCCCTGCCTCTGGAAACAGAAAGAAGGGAAGAACGCAATTTCCCTCATGCTGTGGAAAAGGGAGATTGAGTCATGAAGGGAAGGAAAGCCTTTCTTCTGCTATCTGAGTAGAGGGAGAGCTTCCCTGCATCCTTGCTGGGGTTGGAGAGTCTATGCCCCACCCCCAGGTGACACCCCAGGTGGGGCCCCAACGTCTGGGGGTGAGATGGGACTTTCTACACTCTGAATAACTGTGCAGCTCTTTCCCGGACGCTGCCCGGCTTGACGTTGCCTACAGCAGGCAGAGCTAGTACTGTGGGTTTCATTTTGCCGGTGAGACCGTGCAGGCCTGGAGCCACACTCTGGTAAAGGCCTTCAAGCTGGGACTTAACTCTGGGGTCAAATGCTGTGCCCTTTCTGTGGTACCATGAGAGAAAACTGGCAGAGCAGGGGGATTAGAGAATGCAAAAAGATAAAGGGAATGGGGGCTTGACAGTATATACAGTATATACATCACAGGCACCACCACCCCAGAATGGAGGAAGTGGGGGCCCCTGCTCGTGGCTGGGCCCAGGATGCCAGGTGGCCATCCCTGAAGTCTAGGAGCTGGAGAAAGGCAAGAAGCCTGGAGTGCAGGGCCCTGTGTGCACTTTGCCACTCACCCATCTGGGCCCACTGTCTCCTTCCCAGAGGCAAATCCTCTTCTTGTCCAGAACCTTTCCCCAGACGGCTCCTGTTGCAAACCATCTAATCATGGCTCTGCCCAGGCTCAGGGCAGCTTTATTATTCCCCTCATTTCCAATCTTCCGCAGGAAGGTACTTGGTAAAGCAGCCCTCAGTACTGTCCCCTGGAGGTGTTTTTCTTGCTTCCATGTCCTTGCCTCAGTAACCCTGTCTGGAATGTCTTCCTTACTTCCACGCAGCCAGATCCCCCACATCCCTGAAGACCACCTGCAGAGTCCTAGCTTCAGACTACCTGGGAGCCCCTCACACCCAACTCTACCTTTTCCTCTAAGCACTGTCTTGGTTTTGTTTGTATTTCACAGATGTATTCCGCCCTGAGCTGATAGCCTCTACTTTTTTGTCCTGGTCTTGTCTTCCTGCTTGAGGGGGAAGGTCTCTTCTATCCAGAACTGAGCTTCTGCTTCGGTATTTCCTACAGCTAGGAACACAATGCCTGGCTCATGAAAAGTCTCAGTAAATTCTGGAGTTGATAACTGATTCACTTCTTTACACTTCACAAATCTTCATTCCACCCCGAGACACTTACCCTTGCCCCCCACCCCGGCGGCTCTGAGGAGCCCTGACTCCCCTCAACCGAGGCCTGAGCACCACCGCCCCCCACCTCAGGAGGGATAGGGGATGCCGCAGGTTTTCCACACCCTAGTGACTCCCGCTCTCTTCTCCTTCCCTTCCAAAGGGGTCAGCTAGCAGTCAGAATCAGAGCCCGGGGGTCCGGGGGTGGGTTTGTGCTTCGGAGGGAGACGAGAACCGTAGGGGAGCCTTGCGTAGCTCTCTCACATTTTCCGGGGTGGCGGCCGGCCCCGAAGCGGCGGGGAGGCGGCGCGGGGGCGTTGTTAACGTGGCTGCAGCGCTCTCGAATCCCCAGGCGCCCGTCCTGGCCGCCGCGTCTCCGCTCCGCCTGCCTGTCAGCCGCCGGGAGCTGGAGCTCCGGCGCGTGGTCGGGGCTGGAGACGTCGGAGATTGGAGGGCGCAGTCTACCCCCCCACACCCCCGCTCCGAGTGAGCGTGTGCGGGAGGAACAATTGTGTGTGAGTGCGTGATTCGCTACACTTCGAGTGGCAGTTCTCAGCCAGAATAAGCGCCCCCCACCCCGCGCGCAGCGCAGGTACCCCCCCCCCCCGCCCCCGCCAATTACTCCCCTTTCGCTTTTCGCCGCCGCCTTCCAGCTCGCTTATGGTCCAGTTCTGCCCTCGTGGGGTCCCGTTTCCTTCCACCTGGACCGCTGGAGGCGGGCCTCCGTCTTCCCCGACGGGCCCGAGGTCCTAAGTTTCTCATGAGCCGAGGGCACCGACTCCGGTAGGGGCGGAGGGCGGGGAGACGAGAAGAGACGACTGTGACTTTGGGCTTGGCCTGGCCTGGTGCATGCGGCCCCCAGCGAGCAGCCGCCGCCCCCGCCCCGCAACCGCCGCGGCAGCCCCAGGGGAGCGCGGAGGAGGAGCCGCTCCCCGACTTCGTGGCCCACGAAGGGGTGGGGGTCAGGGGCGGTCTCTCCCGCCTGGTGCGTTCCTGCCGGTAAGGCTCAGCCTGCTTCCAGGGCAGCCATTGCCATGGAGACCCCCGAGGCTATAAAGCCAGATACGCAGGCGGGCGGCGGCTCCCGCGCCGCTGAGCCCCCCAAGTAAGGAGCAGGCGCCCCGGTGTGGCCCGGCCCCCGCGAGCGGGGAGGAGGCGGAGGAGCGGCGCCAGCAGCTTGAGGAGCGGCGCGCCCCGCCAGGGCTGGAGGCAGGCGCGCTCGGCGGGCGCCACCGTCTCATCAGGGGAGCGGGGGCTGCCCCGGGTGCGGGTGAGTGGCGCGGCACCAAGCCACAAGGGACGGAGGGGCACCGGACACGCGGGAAACAGCGGGACAAACAGGAGGGGGCCGAGCTTTGGTTCCCGTAGTCTCGTGGCGGGCCAGGCGCAGAGCCCAGAGTAGCGAGCAACCTACACCTCCAGGCGGGAAGCCCAGGGAAGGAGCTGCGAGACACCAGGCGTGCGGCCCAGGAGCGGCGGGGAAACGGGAGCCGCTGGGGCACAAGAGTGGGAACGACAGGACCCTCGGCTGCAGCTGCCCACGCGCGGAGGGAGCCACACCAGAGCACCAGCGGGGCCCAGAGCCCGGCGGGGCGCGGGAACAGGGGCGCCCCCGTGCGGAGCTGCTGGGCCGCCTCGGAGCGGCGGCTGGGGCCATGCTCAAGCCCAAGGACCTGTGCCCCCGAGCGGGTACGCGCACCTTTCTGGAAGCCATGCAGGCGGGCAAAGTGCACCTGGCCCGCTTTGTACTGGATGCGCTGGACCGCAGCATCATCGACTGCCGCGCGGAGCAGGGTCGCACGCCGCTCATGGTGGCGGTGGGGCTGCCGGACCCCGCGCTGCGCGCGCGCTTCGTGCGGCTACTGCTGGAGCAGGGTGCGGCCGTGAACCTGCGGGACGAGCGCGGCCGCACGGCACTCAGCCTGGCGTGCGAGCGCGGCCACCTGGACGCGGTGCAGCTGTTGGTGCAGTTCAGCGGCGACCCCGAGGCGGCCGACTCGGCGGGCAACAGCCCAGTGATGTGGGCGGCGGCGTGCGGCCATGGGGCGGTGCTCGAGTTCCTGGTGCGCTCTTTCCGCCGCCTCGGCCTGCGCCTCGACCGCACCAACCGAGCGGGTCTCACGGCGTTGCAGCTGGCAGCCGCCCGCGGCCACGGGACCTGCGTGCAAGCCCTCACCGGGCCCTGGGGCCGCGCGGCCGCAGCCGCCGCGGCCCGGGGCTCCAACTCCGACAGCCCCCCTGGCCGTCCGGCTCCCGCGCCCAGCCCGGAGCGCCGACGACCCAGCCCCCGCCGCTTACCTCGGCCTCTCCTGGCGCGCTTTGCGCGAGCGGCCGGCGGCCACGGTCACGGCGACGAGGCTGGGTCAGGGGGCAAGGGCTCGGGCCGGCACCGAGCACAGGGCAGCGAGAGGCCCGAGCTGGGCCGAAGCATGAGCCTGGCGCTGGGTGCTGTAACCGAGGAGGAAGCGGCTCGGCTGCGGGCGGGAGCCCTGATGGCTCGACCACACTCGCCCCAGTCTTCAGGGACCGGGCGGTGGCGTTCGCAGGAGGTCCTGGAGGGAGCGCCTCCGGCCTTAGTGCAAGCCCCCATTGGCCTTAGCCCCCACCCGGAGGGCGGCCCCGGCTCTGGCCGTTTGGGTTTGCGTCGACGCTCCACCGCTCCAGACATCCCCAGCCTGGTCGGGGAGGCATCAGGGCCCGAGAGCGGCGCGGAGTTAGAGGCCAATGCTCTGCCCCCCTCGGTGCCTGGGCCTCAGCCTTGGCAGGTGGGCACGGAGGCCGTGGTGCTGCACGCTCAGCGGTAAATAGCGTCGAGGTTGAGCCCTGTGTCCCCTCCTCTTATGTCTCTCCTCCCCTGGGATTTCTTTTTTCCAGGTCCCTCACTTTCCTGGCAGTTTCCTGGCCTGTGATCCCAGAACCTGTCCCCACTGCCCAGGCCAGACCCCTACCAATTCTCTCTCTGAAAAGAACCCCTATTTTATTTCTTTTGTGTGTGTGTGCTTGTTGGTATTCCCTGCCTAGGTCTCTCACTGTCCCTATAGCCTACCTTTCCTGTCCTGGAGGGGAGGAGTAGAAGACTGGTTCTATAGGCTACAGCCTTTCAGCCAGGAAGATGGACCCCCTACTCTGAGCCCTAAGGCTCAGTTCTGAGTCTTGCCGACTCCTGCTGGGTCACCTCCTCCTTACCAGTTTCCCACACCCTGGCAGCCAGACAGCCGAAGAGTTGACTTGTAGAAAAAAGGCCTAGCCTCCCCCCTCTGCCTAGTGATGTGGCTGGCAATGTTGCATGCCACCAAAGTGTCCCTTCCTGTTAAGTGTTGGAGAAGGAGAGCAAGGAGACCAGCCTTTGAGCCCTTCTGGACAGGAGGGCTGATTAGGAAGGAATCTGGAGGTTAAGTTTTTTCTGGGGAGAAACTCCTGCCTCAAGAAAATGAGAGCATATTTAGGGGTGGCAGAGGCCCTGGTATTGAAGGCTAGTTGTCCCCTGAAATAGCTTCTGGGTAATTCCAGCTCCGCAGACCCAGTTTTCAACTTCACTGATGATGTGGGGTCATTGCCCTACAGCAACAGCTACTGAGCCCAGCTCCCAGCACCTGAGCCGAGCTTCAGCTCAGCTGCATTTGAGTTTTATCTTTGAGGTCTCGCCCCTCAGGGCCCAGCCTTATTTCCTCTCACTCTTAGAGCCTGAAATGGAAAGGACTTGGCACTTCCCCGCCCCCACCACCTCCCAGCTCCCCCGGCCCGCACGTGGGTGCTCCGGCAGGGTGGAATGGTTGCGAAGGCTTGGTTTAATTGTATTTCTTCCAATCCTCAAAGAACTCGTGTTTTGAGTCTTTGTATATGAAGCAGAAAGCAGCGGGTCTGATCCGAGGCTTAAGAACCTGACAATGTCTCTTTAAATAGAAGCTCTGCGAGGGGGATAATTGACTGAAGTGTTTGCCACGTTAAACGGCGGCGCGCGGGAGTCGGGAAGCCCACACGAGCCGCAGGTCCGGGTTTAAATTACATCAAACTCCTGCGAGAGCTGGAAGGGGGCTGTTAAAGGGCTCCTGCTTCTCGCTGGGCCGTTAATGGAGGGCAGGGCGGATGACGGATGCTGGAGGTCGAGACCAAGGACCCCTGCCTCTGCCCCCGCGCGTGGGACTCAGGTCCCGCCCAGCTTCATTACTGGGCAGATTAATGAATCAGAGGCCACCGCGGGGAGGTGGTTAAATGCCCTTTCCCGGCCTGGTCCTTCCTCTTCCCCTCCCTCCCTGCCCTCCTCTTTGTGCGGACCTAAGAAGTGTGTGGGGGCGGGGGGGAGGGAGAGTTCTAGCGGGTCTAGCGATCGCGTGCCCCAGGACCCTGCGGAAGCGCTAGCACAGGTATCTGTGCGTCCAGCCCGCGGGATCGTTGGCGCTTGGGGGTCTCTTTTTGTGAACCCCGAAGGTTGAGCGTGCGGCGCCTCACCCGTCTGAGGTGGGGTCTTTTCAAGACGTCGATCTATATGCCTTTGCAGAACGGAAGGTTTCTCACCAGTAACTCTAAGGGAACTTCCAAGAGCGAGAATGATCTGTGCTGAGAAACTGGTCCTGGAGGTGAGCGGGCCTGGTGCAGGTGTCAGACACCTCCCCAATCCTTCCACCCCTCTGAGGTCTGCAAGGCCGCGCCCTCTCCCCCCCAACCCCACACTGGACGTGATCTCTGGTGCCCCCTGGTGGCAGCGCTGAGCTTTCCTCGCGGCGCCCTGGCTCAGAGTTTAGACTTCGGGTTTTACTTGGGATCACCGCAATGTACTTCTCCGTGTGCATTTACCCATGGAATCCTCTTCCTCTTGTCGTATGTTAAATCCGGATACTTGAAGTCATTTCCCAGCAGTGAAGTGAGGGACAATAAGCAAAAAAACAAAAAACAAAAAACAACAACAACTCGGATTTGGAGGAGCAGGAGCCCAGACCCTTCTTCACTAAGGACCCCAAGATCTTCCAAGTTAGGGCTCCCATGTCCATAGAGCTCCTGCTCTGTTCTGAAAAACAGGAGTCTCCAACTCCTTGTTTGTAATTTCTGAAGCTGCACTGTTTTCCCTTTTTTTTTTGTTTAAGGTTTTTTTATTCATTTGAGTCACAGAGATAGAGAGAGAGAGAGAATATGAGCAGGGGGAGAAGCAGAGGGAGGGGAAGAAGCAGGCCCCCCACTGAGCAGGGAGCCCGATGTGGGGCTCAATCCCAGGACCCTGGGATTGTGACCTGAGCCGCAGACAGACGCTTAACCATCTGAGCCACCCAGGCGCCCCTGCACTGTTTTCCTCTGATGAAATTTGTTTTCTTTTGGGGGGGGTTGCCCTCCCCCTACTCCTTTCTCCCCACACACCTGCCTCTCCTCAGTCCCACTGTCTGGGTGGTGGAACAATACAGAAGCACCTGAAAAGCCAGAGGGAGCGGATCTGGGGTGGGATGGGGGATAATTGGACATCCCAAGTACAAATTCCTTTTTTTCTGACCCCTGCTTGCTCACTTAGTCCCTTTCTGTGTTTAATTTTCACAGAGTTTTTTAATGGTGTAAGGATACAAGTGTTTGGCTTCTTCAGAACACCATAAGGTCTGGGTTGAACAGATGGCAGAAGGTGCTGTCATCTTTCAAATGTCGCTGACCTGTGGCTTTCTGGTTCATTGTCACCCCAGGGCCCTCCTTATTGAGTAAACAACCGTGAGGGCTCCTCTCCACCGAGTTGCCAAGGGCTTGGTGGTTGAAAGCAATGTTTCTTAAAAACCACAACAGATCTTTCCTGTCTGCACTGAATTGTGTTTGACTGACTTGCCGTTCTTGCAGATTTCCCCAGCTCTGTGCAGAACTTCTCTGTATGTCACCATATGTCGCCCATATTTCGCACTTCCTTGTCATTGTCAGCCCCAGGGCTTTGAGGCTGGGGTCCTCTCAAGCTCACTCCACTTTAGAAGAGACTTTTCTAAACAGTTTTCTTTTCCAACTCTTGTTGCTTTCATCGTTGTGAAGAATCACCCAGGCCACTGGATCTCGGTACCCTAACATCAAGCTCAGAACTAGTCTGTGTGGGAGGCTAAATGACATACACACATGCTTTTGGAATGACACTGTGTGGTGGAAGGACTATTAGAACTCAGAATAGTTAATAAATCCAGTATTATTCAGTTGCAAGAACTGGCCTCTCTTTGCCTTACCAGCGGCTCCTGATTCTGGGCTCCCTCTGGAGCCGCAGAAGGGTGTGCTTGCTTCCCGCAAAGCTTCCGCCTTCCATCAGCCTCCATCCCTGCCTCTCCCACTGGGCACTGTGGCTGCGTCCTGAAGGCAGGACTTGGGTACGGCTTTGGACTGAGTTGGTGGGACTAGGACCCTCCGACCAGGGCGGCTGTCCGGGTGGGACTGCTGCGGGGAGCAGGAGAAAGTCTGCACGACTCCTGGGTGCTGGTTGAGAGGGTTCCGTGAGCCCTGGGCTGGGGGACAGGATGAGCTCTCGGGAAGGCAGTGCTGGAATCAGAGTCAGAGCTAGAAGCTGAAAGAGAATTCCATCCACCTCCCCTCCCCGCAGGACTACGACCAAGGTCCCTTGATTTCCAGCCACGGCACTGCTCCTTCTTAACCCCTCAGTTCTGAGAAATGAAACAGAGACTGCTTTCTCCCTGGAAGCAGCCTCCAGCCACTTCCTATGGACAGCAGTGGGGAGGGCAGCCTCTGACTTGCCCTGGAGTGTGAAGCAAAAGGGATACGAGACACTGATGCAGAAAGTGGTCATCAGCCCCGGTGGCTGCCCCCAGAGCTCCTGTGTGCCAGCAAGCACAGCACATGGCCCCGGGCTTTCCTGGCTGGGTTCTGCTCCCCTGGGAAGGAGAGCTCTGTCTCTTTCTCAGCTCTTTCAGCTCCGAGGGCCTTTCACTTCCTGTTTCCCTCCTTATCTGCCCTCAGGGGCCCACGTGCCACCAGGGAGCTGGGTTTTCTGTGGGCTTGAGTGACTGCTGGGGAGTTCATGTTGCCGGGGGGGGGGGGGGGCACACCAGACACCCACTGCAGGGTGTCCGGCTTGAAGACAGCCTGGCTCCATTCTCAGACACAAGAGCCCAGAGGTTTTGAACACTTAGTTTAATTTAAAACAGGCACAAGTGCAAACAATTCACAAAAGTTTCTAGGGAAGATGCTTTTGTTTTTAAAACTCTGACCCTTAAAAAAGTCCTTGCAATTTATTTTTGGCCCCAAAGCAGGCCACTAGGGAGCAGAGGAATCTAAAAATATTATCTAGATAGGGTCCTGACACCTGGAGTTCTTCCCTGGATTCCCTGACTCACAACATCCCTGAAGGTGCGGGGGGAAGGGGGGCAAGGAGACAGGTGTCTGAAGAGGCAGCGAGGGCCGATAGGTTTGCACAAAGGGGGTGCCCATTTTCTTGACAGGATGGGACCCCAGGAGATGGTTCACCCCCCACCCCCCAGACCAGGATTTTGAAAGAACGGGTCCTTGATGACCTGGTTATTGAGATGAAGCTCACAGGCAAAACAAAGTCTGTTCCCTCACCATTCCTGTCTCTGGCTCTGAGACCCCACAGTATAGGTGAAACTCAGAAATCTGCCAAGCCCCTTGGATGCACTAGACTCAACGCAGATCTCTTCGCTGGTCAGGTAGGAACAAGAGACATTTGGGAGGTGGGAAGCCAGGCCACGAAAGCAGGTCCCTTCAGAGTAGAACTTAGTGGCAGAAAGGATGGAGAAGCCTTATTGCTGGCCGTGGGTGACCTGAAGGGAGCCAGGCTGTCGGGGTGACCGTCTGCCACTTACACACACACACACACACACACACACACACGAGATGTTCTCTCCATCCTGTAAAGTAAGACCACGTTTACCACTAACTCCGTTCTTTCTCTTTCTCCCAGAAAAAACGCTCCTCCTCCTTCCCTGGCCTGCGAGCAGGCTGTTCACACTTCAGGGCAGGCTGTGCAGGGAGAGTGATGTCAGCGCAGGTGGGTTGGGAAGCAGGTGCAGGTCGGACTGTACCTTCGGGAAGTCAGACACGAGGGAGGAAGACAGCTTCAGGCAGTAGAAACCTTCCCTGTGGCCCTCTTGAGACCCCAGGGTTTAGAGCTGGAGCTGAGAACAGCAAGTATCCTGGTGAAGACAGGCAGTCTGCCCTCTTGGGTGGCCTGGGATGCTAGTGCACAACTACCTTTAAAAAACAGCAGCTTTTTCTGCTGGGTTGGCCACAGTGGCCAGGAGTGCTGGTCTCCATGTTTCTTAGAAATATCCCTGTGCAAATAACAAAGGGTCATCCTGTAGAAGGGTCTCCATCATCCCAAAGGCAACTGGGGACTCTCTTGGGAGGGAGAGAGACCAAGGGGCAGGTCCGGCCTGGCCCAGTGGGCTGAAGGGCAGGAGGGTGTGGGTGGGGTTTCACATTCAATCTTTGGAGAGAATACTGAGAGAATGAGGCAGGCAGGCCCTGCCGGCAGGCTGGCTGCCCAGTGTCCCCTGCCTGCGGGCAGAGGTGGCAGGTGCGCTCTGGGGGTGGGCTCAGCAGGTGGAGGTCTGCTTGCGGTAGAGCTGGATCAGGGGCACCAGGCACTCGGGCAGCCCCGTCTGCAGCAGGAAAGGGTGGTCCAGGAGCTCCTGAGCCGTGGCTCTCTCCTGCGGGTCCCGCACCAGCATCCGTTCCAGGAAATCTCGAAGCACTGGGGAGACCTGTGGAGACAGGGCAGCACTGAGTGGAAGCCACCGCATGCAGTCACTTTGGGGTGACTCTTCTGCCAGGCCCCACCATCTTTTGAAGGTCTTGAATTCTCTTGTTTCTTACTTCCTGGCAGCTCCCAGGCTCAGGACTTTTCAGATTATCAGGTAATCCCCACCCTGCTGCCGGAGGCTCTCAGCCTTCAGGCTCTGTGGCTCTGTGGAAGGGGCATGGGATTGGTATTAGCGATCCAGTCCTAGGTCTATCCCTGATCTTTGACAAGTTGCAATTTTCTCTAGACCTCAGTTTTCTTATCTGCCCAATGGGCTAATGATAAAATGTGCTTGCCCTGTCTTTAGTGAAGATCAAAAAAGAGGCCAGGGATGAAGTGTCTTGAAAAATAGAAAAGAGCAAAGTGAGACCTGACAAGGGAGATTTCTTTAATGCTCTAAGCCTTGGAGTCTAAGTCAAGGGCTTATCTTGGTTCATTTTGAGCCGGTATCTTGGGATAAGGCTAAGTCTTGGGCTGTTGCAGAAGGCTACCTCCTCTGGGGAATTAGCCAATTGGAAATCTCCCCTATGTGTTGGTCCTGGGGCT